TTAAATGTAAAGCATTATCGTGGGTTAGTGACTGTAGAACGATCACACATGTAGTAGATCCACGAACCACGAAATAGTAAACTGCATAAACATTCAACAGGAAAAGAGTAAATGTTGGCCCGAATAAAACGAATAAATAAATAAAAAAGAGTCGTACCCTCATTTTTCTTTACCCATATTAACATAATAATATAAAAAAATGATAAGCCACCACACACCCGTATTGTGTGACTTAAACAAGCATGATCCATGCAGTGGATCGAAGGTAAGTAGGTACAGGAGATTGCGGTCCACTTGAGATAAATGCAATGAATTATCTCCCATTTTAAAACAATTATAAAAAGAACATTAATTCAAGGGAATTAACTTATATTCATGTCACTAAGTGCAACAAAGAGATTTAAGACAAGGTTAATCAACAAAATATAGAACATTTTAAAGTTATATTATACTCAATTACTTATACAGTTTGAATATATTAAGATTTCTGTATAATTTTAATATTTGATTGGCAAAAATAATAAAATTTCTTATAAAGTTAGACTGAAATACCTATGCCAAATTTCAAAATGATTTTAAATAAATTGCATGGTCTCAAATTAATATGGCTTGCTCGTCCCTGCTAAGTGCTGTATATTTTGGATCTATAAGTAAACCATCTTAAATGAATGAAAACAGGCTACAAGTAAGAAAGAAATATTACTATTGTAAATCTGTATCAGTCCTCACAAGCCGATGATGAAAACTGTAATACTAAAGCGAACACACAACTGACGCTGTAAATTACATGTCTGAGGCGAAGAAAAAAGAGAGGAAAAAAAATACAATATAAAAAAAAAGAAATAAAAAAATAAGTTTTGTTAAATATGGTTTAATGGATTACACTGTTTGATAAATGTTCAAAGCCCACATCATATTAACTAGTGGTCTAATTCATCTTTATTCTCCAAGTTAAAAACATAACATACATTTTTAAATATTTGTCAACTTTTAAATAAGGTCTAGACTAGTCTAACCCATGAACCTCTTATTGTAAAAATAAATGTCTTTTCTAATAAATTAAAAAAAAACAAAAAAAAAACAAAAAAACAAGGGATATTTTGTAACGAAATAGACACTTAATCCAGATTGGAGCTGCTCAATGCAATAGAATCCACTTGCCCCCTAGCTAAAAACGCCCCTTCTTCAAAAACACGACTCTGCCCTAGTTGCAAATATAAATTCATAATCGTTCCAACATAAAATCAAGTTCGTTCAACGGTGAAGGTGACCATGCCACCTATCTAGAACAAATTTGGTACAAGATTTAGTATCTCTATAGCCGCGTTATCTGTGATTGCGGTCAGAGTACAAACGTAATTGTAATGTACAGCAGAGTCAGAACAACGGAATCAAATCAGCTGTAAAGGCCGATGACGCCGTGTTAGTGCACGCGGTTACGGCCTTTAATTCAGGGGCGGAACTACTATCCCGCCAGACCACACAATATAGTGGGCGGGGCGGGGGGGAGTAACTTTAGATGACACAAAATCCGACCAAAAATATTTTCCCCCTTAAAAACTTAATTTGAAGGGTGGCGGGGGGGGGGGGGGGGGGGGGTCCCGAAATTTTTTATTTTTTTTGCAAAGGGCGGAGGGGGAAGCGTTTTTTTACCAGTTCCACCCCTGCTTTGACTAAATTATAAATTACATAATAAGTTAAAACAGCAAAGATCCAAAAATCTTAGAATTCATTATGAAAAAGCAAGCAGTTTTTAGAATTATGATTTTAAAAAGAGTGATACAAAATAATAACATACAAAACATGGAGCGGGGAGGGTACTAATCGGGGTTCCCACAATGTATTATATCCTGCCACACAACTATGTCCTTCAATCTACAGAGACTCTTTTTTAAATGCCGATCATTGAAAAAGTCGATACATTAAAAATGTATGTCCGGAGACTTAATGTACTGCGTCTGCTATCATACAACAATTTGTTTTTATTTGTCGTCAAGATAGCGCGAGTGACAGTTTGAGAACTTAAAATGTGGTCTCCGCAGTACGTGGTTGTTTAGTGTATTAGGTGGTTGGGGGGATCTGTGCTTTACGTAGTGGGGGGGTTTTGTGTATTAGGTGGTGGGGGTCTGTGTACTAGGTGGTGGCGGTCTATCCTCTACGTGGTGGGTATTTTTATCAAGTAATGGAGGGGGGGGGGGGGGTCTGTGTACCATGTGGTATAGGTGTGTATTCAATGTGGTGGGGTCTGTATAATATGTAGTGGGGTTCTGTACTAGGTGGTGGGGGTCTGTATAATATGTAGTGTGAGTCTGTGTACTAGGTGATGGGGGTCTGTGTACATGTTGGTGGTTTGGATCCGTATACTCCTTGTTGGGGGTCTGTGTACTAGATAGTTGGGTCTCTGTACTACATGGCTTGGGGCATATGTTGTTCATCGTGGGGGGGTCTGAGTGCTACGTTGTGAATTCCACATTTTTTAGAGTTGTGAACTACAATACGGGAACCAGTGTACTACGCAGTAAGCGTCTACGTACTACGTAGAGCACAGTTTTCACACTTTCATTGACTGACCACTTTTATTTACACGGACAAGCCAGTTTTTTTTCCGATATTCCAAACTCGTTTGTCCACGGGGAGCTTTGCATAATTTGGGGGGAGCCGCTAAAGTGGTTTATTGTACGGTGGCTAGAACCGAAAGTCCAGTCTAGCAGTGATGGTATCCCGTCTCCAGACTGAACGGTCTTCTATCTTAATGCTAATTGTCTATGGTCTTAAGGGCATTTTTTAATTACTGTCCAACTATGTTACTTTTCCAATATCGTATTCGTCTAATTGTTCACTATTTTATTGGCCAGGAGATGGCGTGGCATAGAGTCAGAGCACTAAACTGCTAACCCGTAAGTCTCGAGTTCGAATCCGGGTTCAAATAAATTGAAAGTCTCTCAGTCTACCCAGCTCTGGCGGGTACCTAACTCACGTTAGGGAAAGTTAGGGCATAGTACTGACTACACTATCTTTTCATATTCCGAGGTCTCTGAAACAGATTAATTCTACTTTAACTTGGGCTTGATTGAGAAAAAGACGATAATTATATTGGCCAGTTGTTTTTACTGGTCCAAATTCTTACTTCTCTCTAAATTGTTCACTGTTTTTTTTGTTCAAGTGTCTTAATTATGTCTTAAATGTCCACTGTCTTATTGGTGAACTGTGTTACTTCTGTCTAATTGGACAGCTGTCTAATTGGTCAGCTGGTCAACTTTCGAATTGGCACACAGTCTTATTTCTGTCTTAATTGTCCAATATTTTACTGTTAACCTGCTTACCGTTCTGTGTCATAGCCAGCGCCCTAGGCAAAACTTATTAAAAGCGCCCCCCCCCCCGCCCGCAATTTTTTTTGTACCCCTGTATTATCAGAGGCGTAGCGACGCTTCCCGGCAACTGGGGGACAAACTTTCGATTTGCACACCCCCCCCCCCCCCCTCAAACTTTCGATTAGTACCCCCCTCAAACTTTCGATTTGCACCCCCCTCCCCTCAAACTTTCGATTAGCATCCCCCTCAAACTTTCGATTTGCACCCCCCCTCAAAACCTTCCGATTTGCACCCCCCTCGAACTTTCAATTTGTTTTTCCAACCCATTTTGGCGCCCCCCCCCCCTACGGACAGTGCCCTAGGCGACCGCCTAGTTCGCCTTACAGGTAGCGCCGGCCCTGGTCATAACGTACAACTGTCTTGTCAGTTACTTGTCTTGAAGTTCAGCTATCTTACTAGTAAGGTCAACTACCTTAAAAATTTACTGTCTTGGTGATACGTTGTCGAATCTTCTTGCAATATTTACCCTGCGTTTGATCAATCAATAATTCTACCGTGTCCAGAGTTTCTTCCAGGAGCCCCCCCCCCCCCCCCCCGAAGAAAGTCTACCGCCCCACCCCCAAAAAATTTCAAGTGCTCCCCCGGAGAAAAAAGTCTGGAAGAAACACTGACCGTGTCTTGTGCTAAAAATACTTTTATTTAAACTCATCATCTAACAAGTTAATACGACTGTGTTTTATTTTGATAATAGTGAAAATTGACGTTTAAAATTTTACCATTGTTAATTTATCGATTAAAAAAATAAATCTTCCAGGTAAACTTGGGGCATTCTAATTTTCCCAGTGTGACGTCACATCCGCTTTACGAACTTGCCGGAAGTTGTTTTCCTTGGTGAATGTTTAAATCGAACTCACAGTTCGTATTCTATTCTCCTTACATTTCAATTTACACTCAGCTCCTGAAGAGAACTAAAAAATTATCAGGTCCTCACTTTATCACATAAAATAAACGTCTTTTTTTTTAAAAATAGAAAATCTACTTATAAACCCAACAGTTCAAAAACATTGTCAATTTATCTGACGTCCAATTTCGTGACAAACTAAATACCGTACAGAAAATAAATATACAGTAACACACAGGGGACGTGACCAATTAGAAAGGGAAATAACTTTGCTGAATAGGTCTTACACCAGTTCACAATATTCCCATGACTACTGTCCCTTTGTAATTGCCACCCATCATTTCTCACCGGCAAAGTGTTGCAATACATTTTAAACATTGTGAAATTGTGAGTTGTTGTTTGTTTTTTGTCTTTAATGTGCGTTAGTCGTGATCCTTAAGGTCACAAAGTTTGTTAGTGATTAGTTAGGGGAATTGAAACAGCCCCAATTTGGCAGATGACGTTTCTGACAGTTACAACAACGCCGTATCGGTGCCGTAGGTATCGGCCGTACGCTATTAAAACTAGAGTTTGAATAGAGTTCGATCAAGTGTATATTCCCACGTTTGTGTGATTTATTTATCCGTGGCAAGATTTTTTTAAAAGTTTATACCGGTGAAGTTTGGGAAAGATTCACTATGTTATCACATATTTTATTAAGATAGTGGAAATCTACAGCTTACAAGAAAGACTAGCCCAGCCCATAATCGAACACGTAATACCAACATATTGGGTCTTATATATATATATATATATATATATATATATATATATATATATATATATATATATATATATATATATATATATATATATATATATATATATATATATATATATATATATATATATATATATATATATATATATATATGTGTGTGTATATATATATATATATATTTATACATGTGAGTATGCGTATGTGTACGTGCCTGCGTATGTGTGTATTGAGCAACAAAACAGTATTACTTCTTTCATTTTTTTAAAGGCGCATTGTAAACAACAATAAATACAGTATCTAATTTACAAGACCTTTACATCATGCTTGTGTAGCTCTTAGTCTAAAGCTAGCTGGTGAAAACCAAAATAGGGTATCACATCTTCCACAAGCCTTGGTTATCGACAGAGGAGGACGCCTCCATCACTCCATATAATAAAATATCGCGAGACATTGTAGAGAGAATCGAACAACTGCGAGCTAAAACCAACGCAAATTACCGGGAATTCCCTGAAGCACTTCCCTACAGTAAAAGCTTGATTCGATTTATTCGACATTTTATTTTATTTTTTTCATTTAAAAAAAATATTTTGGTATCCTCACAACCTTCATAGTCTTTACCTTCGATATTACAAGATCAGATACGGTGCAAATTTGAAGCGCAGTAGAATATTCCAACTGCCTTGATACTTGGGTTAATAAACATAATATTATGTGAAAACGAATAGTTTTTATTGACGAGTTAGAAGTAAATTAAGTAACGTTCCCTTTTCGAACCTGACGGTCAATGGATCACGTAAAGTAGAGTCGACTTGTTTCTGTCACCTCGGCATAGTGTGGTCAGCATTATGCCCAGCTGCCTTTCCCTAAAGTGAGTTAGGTACCTAAAAGAGCTGAGTGGACTCAGGGACACTCTACCACACTATCCCTTCTTATTCTGATGTTGCATTCTACTTCCCTTGCCCCAATGAACAGTAAGGTTCGATAAACGAATTTTACTTAATCAAGTTTGTTCAGCGAATGAAGCTAAGATTGCATGTATTACAGTACGTTTATAAATTCCAAAAAATAGTAAAACAAGTTAAATTATTAAAATCAATAACCACACAATGATCGTAACCTTACTTTGTTAAACTTAAGAGGAGGTCGGTGTAGTCGGGTCGATTAAGCTCATAGTTGCTAAACCGATAAGCTCGATAGCTGGGGTTAGCCACTCTAGGAGAGGCAACTCCAAAACGAATCAACTTCTGCCTTGTAGTTTGTTCTTGGTTGGACAAAGGCTATGGTAGCAAATCCAGAAAGAAAAGCAGTCAACGAATAGCGCATAACCGGTTACTTTATTGTGTTGGAGGAAATTCCTTTTAACGCTAAAAAAAATAAGAACGAAGATGAAGAAGAAAAAGAAAAAATATGAGAGTGAGAGAATAGAATGTATGAATCTAAATTTCCCTATCTTGACGGTGACATATTTTTTTTTTTTCAAATCCGGTTGACGAAAATTGTTCCGTGAAGATAAAATTTTCAATCCGATGATGTTCATAAGCCTCACGATTCTATAGGACACGATACAAGGGTCTACGAATTTCTTTCTCAGCAAATATTTTAACCTTTTCTTTTTATCTGCGATGGAGAAGATTGAATAAAAAAAAACTTTTTAGAACGTTTGAAGCCATGGACGACTTCAGATAATGGGAGGGAAGGGAGAAGAGGGCTACGTAATCGATCAATCGATTTATTGATTGATTTTTTTTTAAACCTCGGAACCCACAATTTTTTATTGATCTGCACCCCAGGAAATGTGGTGACAATTACGTAGATCATTTTAGGAGGCTTGACTTGCAGGTTGTTTTTTTTTCAATCACGTGTTTGACTGCAAGTTCCCGCTGTTATTAAAATTGTTCATGTTCTTGACTGATTGTGTGAATAACAAGTCGGATCACACATAGTCTAAAATAAATCTGGCATGATTGTAGCATAGATTAAGTGCTCATTCTGATACCCAACACCCCCCCCCCATACACACACATAAACACAGCTGACCATAATGTTACATTGTATTTTCTTTTAACAGTTGACGCCACTCTCAACCCCCCCCCCCCCCAATTATCTTAGCCTCTCATATAGATGTTGTAATTGCTTTCAACATTTTGCGCCCCTCAAACTCCCCTTTCCTCCTCTCTCCCCAAAAAATGTACACATATCCACTTCCCTGGTGTTAACATTTTGTTTACTATGAAACAACTATCCCCCCCCCCCCACCCTTGGTGATGTTTATTTTTATTTTCTGCATACAATAACTGATGCAAGCCCCCCCCCCCCCCCCCCCACACACACACACTTAGCTATAGATAAACATAACCACGTTCTTTATGTATATGTTTTCAAGCTTTTACGACCTTGTCCGTATTCTTCTTATTTTTTAACAAAGCCACGCCTTTGTTGTATGTTTTGTTTGCTATCAACAGTTGACACTCTCCCAATCCCTCTCCCTATAAAAATGTACACATCAGTCCAATGATAGTTACACCTTGTTTGCTTACAACAGCTGATGAATACCCTCCCCACCCCAAGCCACGCCCCTGATTTTTACCTTTTTATGCATTCAGCAACTGACAAGTATCCTCCCCACCCCAATCAACATGGCCACGCCCCTGATTTTTACCTTTTTATTCATTCGACAACTGACAAGTATCCACCCTACCCCTAACCATCCTAGCCACGCCCCTGATGTTTACCTTTTTTGTTTTCACCAGCTGACGAATACCCTCCCCACCCTCAACCAACCTAACCACGCCCCTGATGTTTACCTTTTATTTACATTCAACAGTTGACGCCGCCCCCCACAGATAAACCCATCTACGAAAGTACAGTGATATGGGCAGAGGTTGAGGACACGGAGCCCCACTACACACTGATAGGGAGTCTGTGTGAAGCTACGGTGGAAGCGAGAAACCCTTGTGATTTTATACATAGGTCTATGTTCATTTTAGGCGGCACATGTAAGTCTTTCGTCATCAGAGACATAGGTCTATGTTCATTTTAGGCCGCACATGTAAGTCTTTTGTCATTATAGGCATGGGGTCTATGTTCATTTTAGGTGGCACATGTAAGTCTTTTGTCTTTATAGGCATGGGGTCTATGTTCATTTTAGGTGGCACATGTAAGTCTTTTGTCATTATAGGCAGGGGGGTCTATGTTCATTTTAGGCGGCACATGTAAGTCTTTTGTCATTATAAGCATGGGTCATTTTCATTTTAGGCGGCACATGTAAGTCTTTTGTCATTATAAGCATGGGTCATTTTCATTTTAGGCGGCACATGTAAGTCTTTTGTCATTATAAGCATGGGTCATTTTCATTTTAGGCGGCACATGTAAGTCTTTTGTCATTATAAGCATGGGTCATTTTCATTTTAGGCGGCACATGTAAGTCTTTTGTCATTATAAGCATGGGTCATTTTCATTTTAGGCGGCACATGTTAGTCTTTTGTCATTATAAGCATGGGTCATTTTCATTTTAGGCGGCACATGTTAGTCTTTTGTCATTATAAGCATGGGTCATTTTCATTTTAGGCGGCACATGTAAGTCTTTTGTCATTATAAGCATGGGTCATTTTCATTTTAGGCGGCACATGTAAGTCTTTTGTCATTATAAGCATGGGTCATTTTCATTTTAGGCGGCACATGTAAGTCTTTTGTCATTATAAGCATGGGTCATTTTCATTTTAGGCGGCACATGTAAGTCTTTTGTCATTATAAGCATGGGTCATTTTCATTTTAGGCGGCACATGTAAGTCTTTTGTCATTATAGGCATGGGTCATTTTCATTTTAGGCGGCACATGTAAGTCTTTTGTCATTATAAGCATGGGTCATTTTCATTTTAGGCGGCACATATAAGTCTTTTGTCATTATAGGCATGGGTCATTTTCATTTTAGGCGGCACATGTAAGTCTTTTGTCATTATAGGCATGGGTCATTTTCATTTTAGGCGGCACATGTAAGTCTTTTGTCAATTAAGGCATTATACTACCTGGTCGAGGGCATAGAGAAGTGGTTCTTAACCTTTTTGAGTTACCTGACCCCAACAGTTTCATATTCACCGAACCCTTCCTAACAGTTAGATCGTCCGCATTGACAGACTCCGATCTTGAAATACGAGTTGCGTGTGTGCCTTGGCCTCAGTGAAACCCTTAAGACTGACTCACCGAACCCCTGGGGTTCGATCGAAAACAGGTTAAGAACCCTCGGCCTAGAGGGTTGTTAAACAGAGTTTATTTTAAGCATCTCTTTAGGAAGGGGGGGGGACGTCTATCGGTCCCAGCAAATTTGTTTAGAGATTAAAGACAAAGGAATAGTCACAATTTATTTATTTATTAACTTTACTTTTAAGACCCCCCCCCCCACGTTTTACATTTTAAACATTTTCGGGACATTTGGGGATATATTTGCCTGATAATTAACGCACGCAAATTTAATGTGCATGAGATATTTAACACAAATTGAGTCAACATTTTAATTTACTACGTCATTGATTAGTTGCTTCACGGTAAGAAAACCAGCACATTACTTGAATGTAAAAAACGGTGGTCTGTAAGGATGGCCCGCGGGCCACATTGCCGCTAGAACCTAATGAACCCGAGTCTGTAAGGACGGCCCGCGGGCCACATTGCCGCTAGAACCTAATGAACACGAGTCTGTAAGGACGGCCCGCGGGCCACATTGCCGCTAGAACCTAATGAACACAAGTCTGTAAGGACGACCCGCGGGCCACATTGCCGCTAGAACCTAATGAACACGAGTCTGTAAGGACGACCCGCGGGCCACACTGCCGCTAGAACCTAATAAACACGAGACTGTAAGGACGGCCCGCGGGCCACATTGCCGCTAGAACCTAATGAACACGAGTCTGTAAGGACGGCCCGCGGGCCACACTGCCGCTAGAACCTAATAAACACGAGTCTGTAAGGACGGCCCGCGGGCCACACTGCCGCTAGAAGCTAATGAACACGAGTCTGTAAGGACGGCCCGCGGGCCACACTGCCGCTAGAACCTAATGAACACGAGTATGTAAGGGCGGCCTGTGGGCCACATTGCCGCTAGAACCTAATGAACACGAGTATGTAAGGGCGGTCTGTGGGCCACATTGCCGCTAGAACCTAATGAACACGAGTATGTAAGGGCGGCCTGTGGGCCACATTGCCGCTAGAACCTAATGAACACGAGTATGTAAGGGCGGCCTGTGGGCCGCATCGCCGCTAGAAGCTAATGGCAGAACATCCTGAGAGTTCTAGATAAAATCCAAAATCAAGATTTAATTAGTGACCTTTCAGTTCATTTGATGACCGTGCCTGACTCATTTAGTGGAGTGATGCACGGGTCATAGAAAATTTATTTAGGTAAACAAAACAAAAAATTGATTTAAAAAATTCTGTAACGTTAACAGAGAAAAGAAATGTGGACTCATTTTCAGATGAAAGCCTTAATTGACTAAATACGGGTTGTTCTCAGTTCGTATACATCGCCTTGGTAATATTTAGATTTTTAAAACTAATTCAATAAGTTTTTATCAAAATACAACAAACTCATGAAATGTCTAATCAGTGTCGTTGTAAAAATATTTATCGGAGTCGGAGTTAATATCATTTTCAGTTTGATTTTAACAATATTTGATTAACATATCGCTTATCTAAGATATATGATTGCGATACAGTACCTTTGTAATATCAAAAATAAATATACCTACTGTATGATACGTCTGCTTATTTTTAGAACAGCCAATGGAATATATAATGTCAAACAAAAATATTCACTACTTTTTTGTAAAACTAAACTTCATATGTAGGCCTACCTGTTTGTTCAAATCAAAATAAATCAAGAGAAAATAAAGGGATGCTACTTAACTTATCATTTTCTTATTTGATTTCAGGGCCAGTAACTGTATTTACTTTAGTGTTACTAGCATTACCTTTAGTAATGACAGCTATAGGTGAGTAGTCAGCACTCGTTATGCTTTAGTATTACAAATAAAATTGTATGTTTATTAACGTAGTATAATAGCGTAATATTAATCATTAACTATTTTATTATCTTCCTTCTTGTTTTTTGTTTTATTTTAGTAATTACCTTAAGGTGACAAACTTGTACAAAATAAATAATAAACATTTCAACCTTGAATTTGAGATTTATTATGCGATTTTTATGCAACCAAAATTAACAAAGTACAAAATTTAAAAAAAAAAAAAAAAAAAAAAAAAAAAAAAAAAAAAAAAACATTCTAAAACTCAGCTTTGAATCAGATAAATGACGCAGTTACTTTAAGTAGATTTTATTGCATGTTAGAAAGTCTAACCAAATTGTTTCACCTTATCTCCTCCCCCCCCCCCCCCCCCCCTCTCTTGCAGGTGTAAATTATCTCCACGAATGTCCTCGCGAGCCCAAGCTGCCCATCTACCTGGTCGTGGGCGGCTGCTTCGGCATCATCAAGCTCATCTTCCTGCTCTGGAAGCAGATCAAGCGGCACCGCGATGACGTCATCGACCTCCACGACGACGACGACCTGCTGACCATGACGCGCATGACCAACATGGCGCTGAACGTCTTCCTCTCCGTCTGGTTCGTCTTCGGCCACTACTGGCTCATCCGGATCTGGAAACCTCACTTCGAGGCGCCGCTCCACGAGCCGCGGAACTGGTGCGACGAGACGGTCTTCTTCTTCGCCTTCTGGCAGCTGGTCATCTGCCACATCATCATCGCGCTCGTCCTCGTCACCGCCGTCATCCTCTACTGCTGCTACGTCTGCGTCAAGTGCTTCGTCCACGACGACCGCCAGGCGCAAGGGGCGCGCCCGGCAAGCGAACAACCCGCGGGGGTGAAGAGATGACGCCAAGCCAGCGCTACGAGTCAGAAATCTATACAACACGTTTAGAGACAAATTCCTCTTCAACCTCACCCTTTACTTAAACCCATTCCTGTGTGAACACTTCCGGGTAAAGATACGTTACCTACCACGTGACTTGGCACAAGGAGCAGGCCTTGCTTGTGTCTTACCGTCATCCTACAATACCTGAGCTGCCTGAAGATATTCAATATTGTTTTAACATACTTTTATCATGACAATATGTCAATCGATTCACGGTGAAAAAGTTACTATTTATATTTAAATGTAACATATATTATTTATGTTGTTAACTTTGAATCATTTTATTTAAGATTAATATATATTCATTACCTTTCATGATTTATCATTATTTATGCATATATATATATATATATATATATATATATATATATATATATATATATATATATATATATATATATATATATATATATATATGTGTGTGTGTGTGTGTGTATATATATATATATATATATATATATATATATATATATATATATATATATATATATATATATATATATATATATATATACTAAATACAAATAATACTAAATTACAAATATACTAAATTTTAAGCTTAATACATGTGCAAAGAAACATGGAAAGATAACCATAATTATTTTTTTTTTTGGACATATTTCGAGTTATTTTTCCTAGTTCTATAGGCTATATCCAATAAACTAGTGAAAAACTCATTAGCTGGAATATTACTTTTTAATATAAAATTCCTATTTAACTTAGAATGTAATTGAATAAAACAAAATATATAGACTCTTAGAGACGATAACTAAACCATAAAGATAAGTTTAATATGTGTTAAAATTTTCGGTAGGCCTACGGTTTACGGAAGAAAGAAATTATTTAACGTTTCCTTTCGTAATGAAGTTACATTTCATATAAAGATCGTAAATTTTCTTCAATAGTGTATATTTTAAACCTTAACCATCGCTATGGTGCTTATACGCTTTCTCGCTTTCATGTATGAGCTTATCTTTTCTATGGAATGTATTCTATTTTCTTATATTCCTCAAATTCAACACGATATATAAAAATAACAAACAATTTTATTGTATTAGGGGTCGTCCATAAATGACGTCACACTCGTAGGGGTCGTCTAAAAATGACTTCACACTCGTAGGGGGAGAGGGGTCCGTAATTTTGTGACGGTGTGTGATGAGGAGAGGGGGGGGGGGGGTGGGTTCAGATGGTGCGAAGTCACAATTTTGCATTATAAAAAGGCAATGTAAGAAAAACGAATTTTAGACGTTATTTCGCGTTTTAGAAAACTGTTTTAATAAATTGTAATAGGAATTGATTAAAATACTCTATTTCGACAGATTTCAGACAAGATTTTAGAAAAATATCGATGTTTTAAAAAAAAATTCAACTGTAATTTTGAGAGGGGTTGTAGGATGAGGTGTGACGTCATTTTAGGGGGGGGGTCTGGCTTTTTGTGAGGATGTGTGACGGGGGAAGGGGGGAGGTAAAAATCGTCAAAAAAAACGTGACGTCATTAATGGATGACCGCTTAGCTTCTATTTTTCTTAAACGAAACACAAAATCTATTCCTTCATAATCGTATGGTTTTATCCTTAAATCTCCCTTCCCCCGAACACAAAATCTATTCCACTATATTCCTATTGCTTAATGGTCTCCACATTCCGAATACAAAATCTATTCCACCGTATGCTTAGATTATATCTTTTCAATGATCTCCCTACACCGAACACAAAATCTACTCTACTTTATGCTTATTATTTAATGATCTCCCTAAGGCCTAAACCGAACAGAAAAATTTATTCCACTATATGCTTATATCTTTTCAATGCTCTCCCCGTTTCAAATAAAACCTAATTCCATTTTTCACGTACGGTTGAAGCTTTACACTCGCGGCATAAGCCACAAATGTGCTACTATCAACGGTTGTGCAACTGGTGCGCCTTAAATGGTTGTGACAGAGGTGCGACTTTAAATGGTTGATATTCTGCTGCGCCTTTAAATGGTTGTGATAAATGGTCGATATTCTGGTGCGACTTTAAATTGTTGATATTTTGGTGCGACTTTTAATCATATCACATAATCTAACTTTTCAACCTGTACATTGGCTTTAATGTATAAATGTGATCTATTATAAAAAAGTGTATAAAATATAATGTGATCTATTGTAAAGAAAATACGTATAATTGTGATATACTATTTAAAAATGTGTATACATGTGATCTATTTTAAAATTATTTTTTTTACATAAAATGAAATTGCGATTCTCAAATATTTATATTTAAAACGTTTAATCCATTAAGCCTACTTATAATTCACCCTTTACTTTAAATACTTTGTTAGTTTTTATCTGTGATCGAATAATATTGTTTTATCATATATATATATATATATATATATATATATATATATATATATATATATATATATATATATATATATATATATATATATATATATATATATATATATATATATATATATAGTCGACTATGAAGGTGGAGGTGTGGAGGTTGGATGGGGGGGGGGGGGGGGATTTACTGTTCAACTCATATTTTTAAAAAAAACAGGGGAAATAACAAGCCCTGTGTTTAAAAGAATGAAGGATTAGCAAAGTAGTGTTTTCCTATCTAAAGGCATTTAGAGGCAAAAAAAAAATTAAAATTATTTACTACTATTTAAGTAGATAACAGAACTTGTTAGAAAATATAAAAATACAAACTCTTTCCTACCCAACTGCCTACCCATTGGTATCACAACGTCTGATACACGGATGAGGGGGTGGGGGGGAGGGGGTTAATCAGTAGATTACCGCGAAACTCGAACCCAGACACAAAACTCGTGCCTCTCGCGGCTCTAAGACAAAACCAGACCTTTCTTTTAAATACTTATCCTGTTTTGAAAAAAAAAATAGATTTAAATTATGCTAATGTCATTATTCCATATCACTTAATGTTCCTTGACCCTATTTCAGTTACCGTAGTAACAGATGCAACATGTTTTTGTTAAGACATGTGTGTATGAACATAGCACTACACCATATAAAAGTTTTTATCGTTTTCGTTTCGAGTAAAACCCGAATCAACGAAGAAATATTAGTTTTTAATTTAGTATTGGGGTACCTGGATATGAATCTTCTGTATATTTCATTTCATAAAATGTGTTCACAGAAAATCATGTTTGATATTATGACCATACATCATTATTTTCGTATTATACTAAACCGCATTTGTACTAAATGTATATTTTCTTATATTTCTGATAAGGCTTTCTACTCCAAGATTCCAGTGTACAAATAATTATAAACACTTTTTGATGTCGATGATATAAATAAAATTGATTTATAAATAATTTACCTCGTTGTGTCTTTTATTTTTTACTTTTTACTTGTTTAATAATTAAAATGAGATTTTTCTGTGAGCATCAGCATGTTCATGTTTATAGTTAAAATAAAATAAAAGTTGGGAACAGCGAGGCAGAGCGGTACACCGTTAACATAAAAGTCTTAAGTTCGAATCCCGGGCGTCTTACGGACATCCCTGGCTCTACTCAGCTCTGATGGGTACTGTTATGGGTCAGTTGTAGGTTAGATAGAAATAGGTTAGAATAATCTAGAACTAGGGGAGAGTGCGTATGTGAGTTGAGTTTACCCTAGAGCAGTGGCGTAGCGAGGTCGTCGGGCTTCACCCGGTGCGGCACTTAATGGTGTCACCCCCAGAGGCGTAGCGACCCGTCCCGGGGACAAACTTTCAATTTTCGATTCGCACCCCACACTCCCGTCAAACTTTCGATTTGCACCCCCCTCAAACTTTCGATTTCCAACCCCCCCCCCCCCCTCAAACTTTCGATTTGCACCCCCCCCCCCCCCCATCAAACTTTCAATTTGCACTCCTCTCGAATTTGTATCTATATATTTTGCTATTTTTTGCCTTGGTGTCACCCCACTTAATGGTGTCACCCCCCTCGCTACGCCTCTGTCCTAGAGTATTGCTAACCCCGGTGTGTTTATGTATTGTTATCCCAATGTCGAATGCGGTATAAAAGCTGGAGTGAATGATTGTAAGGGGGTTAATTTGGTAGCGGTTAGAACGAGGGCTACTCTGTAATGTGAAGAATTATGACCAAATAAAAGTATTGAAGATAACCACGAATCGCTTTCTGGCTTGAACTAGACCCGGATGTAACAGGTACCTAACTCATGTTAGGGAAACAAAAGCGGCTGGGCATTGTGCTGACCACACTATTCCCTCTGTTTGCCGAGGTTAATGAAACCGATTAGCTTACACGGCCCTTCATAAGTTGATTATAATTATATAAAACGACCGTATCGTTAAATAATTGATTAGCTGTTTTTTTTGTTTTTTTTTTGAAGTTAGTTATTTTTTAATGCACTGAATAGAAAACATATTTCTGAAAAATTAACAATACGTACATTTTGCACTAACGTTCAACATGTAGGCCTACACCTCTATGTAAAAATTAGTCCTGAATTGCAGTTTTAATTATCCGGATAGTTTTTATCCTTATCATTAAAAAATAATTATATCTGTTAACCTCCTTGATCAGTTACATTTTAAAAAGTATTAAATACATTTATTTGCATATCCCCTCATAAACATAAACACATGTTTAATATTCACGTGTCAATGGTGAGTCTATTACGAATTATGGAAATTTTTTAAAAAATACGTACACAAAACCGCATCCCTCTCGAGTGGCATAGCGAGGGGGGGGGGGGGTTGCAGGGGGTGCGGACCGCACCGGGTGACACCATTTAGAGGGGTGACATCAAGGCAAAATGTAGCAAAATATATAGAGAAAAATGATAATTTCACTTAATTAAGTGGTTAATTCGAGTGTTAAATAGTCTATTAAGAGCAAATTTGACAAACCCGACAAGGCTCGACGGGGGGGGGGGGGGGGGGGGTGCAAATCAAAAGTTTGAGGGAGGGCCGGAAATCGAAAATTTGAGGGTTGGGTGCAAATCGAATGTTTGACCCCGAGCGCCGGGAAAGGTCGCTACGCCTCTGAAAGGTGACACCATTAAGTGCCGCACCGGGTGACACCCGACCGCGCTACGCCACCGTCCCTCTCCCAATTAATTTTAACACGGTGTAAATAGATAGGCTAGTTAGAGAAAAAAAAACACAATTTGTGTTGACTTTTGGCTTATATCACGTGACTTGGTTACTTAGCACAATTAGTAATCAAAGAACACATCACGAAATAAAAAGCGACGTCGGGAAATTCGAT